TCTTTTCTCCGTTTATCATGATGTTGCTTATTGGTGCAGTTATGAGGATTTTTGTTTTCTTTATGTTGAGGTGTAATCCATACTGAAGAATGTGGTCTTTGATCTTCATCAGTAAGTGCTTCAAGTCCTCTTCACTTTAAGCAAGCAAGGTTGTGTCATCTGCATAATGCAAGTTGTTAATGAGTCTTCCTCTGGTCTTGATGCCATGTTCTTCTTTATACAGTCCAGCTTCTAAGATTCTTTGCTCAGCATACAGATTGAATAAGTATGGTGAAAGGATACAACCCTGATGCACAGCTTTCCTGACTTTAAACCACACAGTATCCCCTTGTTCTGTTCGAACGACTGTGTCTTGGTCTAAGTACACTACCCATAGGGTTTCCAAGTTCATAATCTTTACGGAAGCCAGACTGCCACATCTTTCTCCCCCAGAGGGGCTGGTGGGGTCGCACTGCTGACCTTTTGGTTAGCAGCCAAGTGCTTAAACACTGTGCCACCAGGACTCCTTATTTATTGGTTTAGTTTATAAATATATCAATATAATTTAAGCCAAAGAAATTTCTTAACCTTTGATTTGTATATGAAGTGGTCTTCTCCTGTTTTTCGTGCTTTTCAGCGTGGAAGAACTGCTGAAGCATTGACATCAGATACTCTGTTCTCTACTTAAACTCTCCCAGTGACTGCACTCCATTGGAGAAGGATTGTTTTGCAGTATTGACAAAATGCTGACACTAGGGAAATATCGCCCAGTGCACTGAATAGTAAAAATGACCTATTTTCATAACTAAAATTGCAGACTTAACGAAATTAGCCACATAAGTCTTGCAAATAAGTATAATAGTGTACCAGACCATAAAAAACAATCACTTCAGTTTTAGAGTTGGGGCTGCGATATAGCCATAGAGTTAAAAGAACAAGTGACTCTGGAACCAGACTGTATGGATTCAGATCCTTCAGCGAGTTACTTAATGTCTCTGAGAATCATTTTTCTCACCTAAAACTTGGGATAAGAATAGTTAGTTATTACCTCATAGGTCTGTTACGGAGATTAAATGAGAATTCTTGACAAGTACTTATTAAATGTGTTTTGGGGTATTAATTAACTTGTAGGATATTAGGCTTTTTTTTTTTTTATTTTAAAAAAGGCTATTCTTTAGATGAAGTAGAATCTTGCCTTCTAAGTTGAAGTCAACTTGATTTACTGTTTCCAGGAAAAGCCATGACTAGCATTTCTTTTTCTCGGTCATGCTTTTGCTCGTGACCGGCAAAACTTAATAGTCTTGAAGGAAGTTGAATTTGAAACATGAGATTCTGAGCCACCCTTATGGTAGAGGGTAGAAGTTCAAAGGAGATGCAGATTTTGTTGATAAAGTAAAGAGAATTTTAACAATTTGAAGGATTTTATTGATGTTACATTTTATTTAAAACAGTTGCCTATAAATCTCAACTAGATCTCCCCTTCGAGCCCTGGTGGTGTAGTGGTTAAGAGCTCTGCTGCTAACCAAAAAGTCAGCAGTTTAAATCCACCAGCAGCTCCTTGGAAACCCTGTGGGGCAGTTCTACTCTGTCCTATAGGGTCACTATGAGTCAGAATCAACTTGATGGCAGCTGGCTTGGTTTTAGTAGATCTCCCCCACCCCCACCCCCCCAATTCTCTCCCCACCCTAGCTGTTTAGGTAAAGGTTTTGAAAAGGCCTATGTTTCTATATTTTTTAAAACTAGGCTCTAAGAAAAAATGTTTCTAATGTAACTCACTTTTCATTCCACATAGCATTTTTCGGAAGTCACTAAAAAACATGTTTTCTTTCAAAATGAGAACAATGAAGAAATTTTTTTAGTAAGTTGAAATTATGTTTTAAAAAGAGTATTTGATTATTTTAAAACAAAGGGAAGGGTGTTCATAAAAGTGGCAGAAAATGTAGCAAACGGGTTTTTCTGGTAATAGAGGAAAGGTTAATCCCTTTAGATTATCACCCATTCAAGAAGTTTAACTTTAAGCTGTGACTTGTCTTTTATCTAAGGTATAAAAAAAAAGTCAGTTTGGAGGCCTCTGTTGAGACACTTACAGATGTATTCGAGCAAATATTTGATGTCTAGATTTAAATGTCCAGTTGGTGTGAATGAAAGGGGCTCTGATAGTGCTTGCCTACTCTATCCCAGCATTTGTACCAGGGCACTTCCTTCTTGGCCTTAGGCTGAAGGATTGTGTTTTTAATTTGGAAGCCTCTTGAGTGGACAGAATGATTTTTCTTGGAACCATTCTTGGGAGTCTGTGTTTGTGTCAGGAATCTCTGCCTGAGCTTATTGTAAGACCTCATGAGATATCAAGCAAGTTTAGTGAAATAAGTCAGCCACAAAGGGACAAATAATGTATGATTCCACTTATATGAAATGCCTTGGATAGGCAAGTATACAGAGACCAAAGTTTATTAATGATTACTAGGGACAGGTGAGAGGGAGGGAAAATGGGGGAGTCACTTCTTATTTCATGTATTTCAGCTATTCTAATTTCAAATTTAGTTGATTCTGAAGTTGTTTGTTATTCTTTTTTACACTTAATGACCATTAGACTTGACGTAGGTGTGATAAGGTCGAAGATTGGCTGCTGCTTTTTTGTAATGAGGGATTTTGGTAGTACTTTACAGAGTAGACTGACAGTTTATTTTTAGGGCATAATTTGCAGTGTCTGAACTGACAGTATTATCTGACTTTTTATAAAAGAGGTACTTATTTGACTTGACCTGGCCTTTCATTTCATTGTCCATTCTCTTCTTCATAAAGCTCTTTCCCGTAATTTTTATGACACCATTTTAACACGGCTTTTTTACCTAACAGACTATATTTTGTATTTCCAGTACATTTGCCTTGTTGTGTGCCATCAAGTTAATTCTGACTCATAGCGACCCTATAGGACAGAGTAGAACTGCCCCGTAGGGTTTCCAAGGCTATAGTCTTTATGGAAGCAGATTGCCACATCTTTCTCCCAAGGAGCAACTGGGGGTTCAAACCACCAACCATTTGGTTAACAGGCAAGCGCTTAACCACTCTGCCACCAGGGCTCCTCGCATTTACCTTACAAGACTATATGTTGTCAAATTTCCTTTGTGAGTTTTGTCTCTTCTGCTTAAAGTTAAGGATTCTCTTCCTGTCCCTCATCTACTTTCCTAATTCCTATCCCGAGATTTGGAGCCTTGGTGACGCAGTGGTTAAGAGGTTCGCTGCTAACCAAAAGGTCAGCATTTTGAATCCACCAGCCACTCCTTGGAAACCCTATGGGGCAGTTCTGCCCTGTCCTATAGGGTCACTATGAGTCGGAATAGACTCAACAGCAGTGGATTTATCCCAGGATTCAGCCCTAAGCGCCATTCCTATAAAGCTTTTCCTTTTCTCTCTGGGAAAGTAAGTACAGCTGCTTTGTTCCTCCTGTGCTCACACAAAACCTTTGCACAGCTCATCTCATCACGTTGTAACTACCCATCACCACCCTTCCCCACCATAGGACTGTAACTGTTTGAAGGCAGGGTCTGTTCCTCATTTATTTCTGTATCTTGAGTGCTTAGCACAATGACTGGACTGGAATAGGGGTTCAAATTTTTTTTGGTTGGATGAGGGTGGATTATGAAACATATATAGGCATGTTTTATAAATACATTGAAACATACTGTAACTATTAGAGTGTTCCATATGATAATAGTTATGATAAAGTAGAGAGAGGTTTTTTGGTAATACCAGAGAGGTAATTTAGGATGTTGTGCTATTTTGCTACATCTGACTCTTCTGTATTTCTTTCCAGCATACAAGACAGTATCAGGAGTCAATGGTCCACTAGTGATCTTAGATCATGTTAAGGTAATACCACTATCTGTTATAGTTTGACCATTTATGAAGTTAAAAATCCTGTAAATCCTTTAAAATTTATGTTAAGCCATTCCTTGACCTCAATGTCAGTGCTATACAGGAGACAAAAATTTCACACCAGAAATCAGAATACCAGATTCCAGTACTGGATGTACAGTGAATTCTGTTTATAGTGTTGAGTCCCTCATCTGCAAA